CTGCCCTTTGAAATCTTCTGGCCAGCTCTTTTACTTCATCATGTCTTCTGTTTGCTTTAGCTACTCTATATTCAAAAGCAACTTTCAGAGTATCTTCTGACATCCATTTTGGTCTTTGCTGACTTTCCTGTCTTTTTAATGACCTCTTGCTTTCTTCATGTACGGTGTCCTTGATGTCATTCCACAGCTCATCTCGCCTTATGTCATTAGTGTTCAATGCATCAAATTTATTCTTGAGATGGTCTCTAAATACAGATGGGACATACTTAAGGTGGTATTTTGGCTCTGGTGGACTTGCTCTAATTTTCTTTACCTTCAACTTGAACTTGCATATGAGCAAGTCAGTCCCTGGCCTTGTTCTGACTGATGATGTTGAGCTTCTCCATAGTCTCTTTCCACAGATGTAGTCGATATGATTCCTGTATATTCCATCTGGTGAGGGTGGATACTCACTCTTTATGTTGTTGAAAAAAGATATTTGCAATGAAGAAGCCTTTGGTCTTGCAAAATTCTATCATTTGATATCTGGCATCGTTTCTATCACCAAGGCCATATTTTCCAACTGCTGATCCTTCTTTGTTTCCAACTTTCATATCTCAATCACCAGCAATTACCAATGTATCTTGATTACATGTTTCATCAATTTCAGACTAAAGATGTTGGTAAAAATCTTCAATTTCCTCATTTTTGGCATTAGTGGTTGGTGTATGTCTTAGTCACCTAGTGCTGCTCTAACAGAAATACCACGAGTGGATGGCTTTTAACAAAGAGAAATTTATTTCTTCACAGTCAAGTAGGCTAAAAGTCCAAATTCAGGGTGTCAGCTCCAGGGGAAGGCCTTCTCTGTCTGTTGGCCTTCTCATCAATGTTCCCCCAGACTAGGAGCTTCTCTGTGCAGGGACCCTGGTCCAAAGGATGAAGGATGCGCTCTGCTTCCAGCACTGCTTTCTTGATGGTATGAGGTCCCCCATTCTCTTCTTGCTTCTCTTTCCTTTTATCTCTTGTAAGGTAAAAGGTGGTGCAGGCCACAGCCTAGGGAAACTGCCTTTACATTGGATCAGGGATGTGACCTGGGTAAGGGTAGTGTTACAATCGCACCCTAATCCTCTTTAACATAAAATTACAATCACAAAATGGAGGCCAACCACACAATTCTGGGAATCATGGCCCAGCAAAATTGATACACATATTTTTTTGGAGACATAACTCAAACCATGACACTGTGTAAATTTGAATAATAATCATATTAACTGGTCTTCCTTGTAGGTGTATGGATATTATTGTATTGCTGACAGTGTTGTACTTCAGGATAGATCCTGAAATGTTCTTCTTGAAGATGAATGAGACACCATTCCTCTTCAATTTGTCATTCCCCACATAGTAGACTGTATGATTGTCAAAATGGCCAATACCAGTTTGTTTCAGCTCACCAATGCCTAGGATATTGATCTTTATGAGGTCCATTTCATTTTTGATGATTTCCAGTTTTCCTAGATTCATACTTTGTACATTCCATGTTCTGATTATTAATGGACATTTGCAGCTGTTTCTTCTCATTTTGAGTCATGCCACATCTGCAAAAGAAGGTCCCGAAAGCTTTGCTCCATCCACATCATTAAGGTTGACTCCACTTTGAGGAGGCAACTCTTTCCCAATCATATTTTGAGTGCCTTCCAACCTGAGTGGCTCTTCTTCTGGCATTATATCAAATAATGCTCTGCTGCTATTCATAAGGTTTTCAATGGCCAACTTTTTAGAAGTAGACTGCCAGGTCCTTCTTCCTAATCTGTCTTCGTCTGGAAGCTCCTAGAAACCTGTCCAGTATGGGTGACTCTGCTGGTATTTGAAATATTGGTGGCATATCTTCCAGCATTGCAGCAACATGCAAGCCACCACAGTACAACAAACTGACAGGCACGTGGGGACTTAGGGAGCACAATTTATATCTAACTTGCAGAGGAAAACAAAAAGAAAAATGGTAACATTTATGGAGTTCTTATATATTGTTATATACACAGTTACCTCATATTCCTTAAAATATTTTTTGAAGTATATATTACTTTCTCCATTGGACAGTGTAGTCCAATGGAGAACACGCTATTGAGACAGGTTAGGTAAGTTGTTTACGACCTCAAAATTATTAAGTGGTAAAGATAGAATTTGTATCCTAGTTGGTCTGATGCTAAGGTCCACATCCTTTATGCAACCATGTTCAAGAGGATCAAATGGCGAATGAAACAAACGTTCGTTTCCTGGGTTCCTACCTTCCCAATCAGTATTCCTATCTATTGTCCCATTTCCACAGGCCTTGTGTTTCTCACACCCTTGTCCACTCCCAGTGTAAATGTTGACTGAAAATGACACTAGTCAATTATTCTTCTATGATCAGTGTTTGTATTCAGTAAAAAAATCAACACGCTAAAATGCCTTTAGGGTCAAAGAAATGGATCTTAAACAACATGATAGAGACTATCGGGGACTCATAAGGACTAAGGAACTATCTTCTCAGAATGGGCCCTGTGACTTGCAGAAACTCAGAGTTTCCCTCTTAAATGTTTTACTGATATAAAATCCATCTAAAAGAAATCCAAGAGCAGATTTAAAGGCAAAAGAAGTCATAAACTAACTTAAGGTGAGACATGAGGTCAGGAAGGGGTAGAACAAACCCTTTGTTTAGTAACATCAGGGTGCTTGAGGAGGTTCTGAACCAATTATATAAATCTCATTCCTAATTTCCAATTTATTTCATTCCATTGGGCAGACTCAAAGTAGCAAGACAAAGTTTCAGAATACTTAAGGTTGTGTTTCTTCTCATTCCCCTTGAATAGAGCTGCTTCTTGCCCAAGAACCCATGATCTTCAGGCCTATAATACGACAGTTACAAATCTGCTTGCGATGACATCTTCCCTGCTGGTGGAGATACAGAGCTCTTTCTTTTAAAGCTACCTCATATTGACATGGAACGCTAGGGTATCTTAATGGAAATTTGCTAAGTTTTCAAATACGTAGAGAACAAAATAATCAAAATCCTCTGCCATTGAGTTGATTACAACTCATGGTGACCTCATGTATTTCAGAGTAGAACTGAGCTCCATGGATTTTTCAGTGGCTGTAATAATATGGAAATAGATTTCTAGGCCTTTTATCTGTGGCGCCACGGGGTGGATTCAAACCACCAACCTTTCAGATAGTAGCTACGAGCAATCCATTGTGCCACTCAGGAACCTAAAGAATAAAATATATATCTAGAAACAATACGACAATTTTTCAAAACATTTATGAAAGAGAGAAAAAAAATAATCTGACTATTTTACATATGCTCAAAGTATGTCCAATTGATATACTTTGTAAACTTTCAGCCAGTTTATCTGTGAATATTTTTATAATGTAATTATAACCATAAAACCTATTTTTTGAATTTTACTTTCTTTCTCCTAATATTCTAATCATTTTCTGTGTTACTAAGAATTTTTCATAAATTAGACTATTTTTGGGGGTGGGGTGGGGTGAGTAGATCTCTTCAGGCATTTTTGAATGGCATAGATGCTCTATCATATATCTAAATGCATGGATTACCTCTGTGTAGGCATTGCATAAACACCAATATAGTCCTAGATTTTAAATATTACTCAGATTATACAGATTCTGCATTGTAGCTCTCAGGGAATTATTTACTTCATCACATTTTTAAACTTACCACAATTCCGCTAATTGATCATACTTAAAAAATTGAGTTTATCAAAACTAGTGTTTAAAAAGAAGAGAATACAATTGATAAACACTCAAGTACATATTTATTGAGTTTAGACATTTTTGAGAGTTGCTTAGATTTCTATTCTAAATATTTGCTGAGAATTTCTTTTACACTAAAGAATGTCTTTGGGCTATTTGCAGCTGTTGTGGCCTGGCCTTACCCCATTAGAGGTGATCTGTGGGAAGAGAAAGAGACAAATTGTGACACTGCCCCTTATCAAAGGACCACACAGTTGTTCGCCACTTCGACTCCATGATGGATAGTTATCTTGAGGTTTGATGGATGTAAGGCTAAAAGTTTAGAGGAAAACAGTGCAGAAGCCCAGTAGCTCCTTGCTATTGACACTTACTAGATAAAGTGGGGCTAATCAATCTTCTCTATTGTCTTTAGCTTCAATTTTGTGTTCTGTTCAAGCTTCGTTTTTCCCACCTCATTTCGATTGATGTGCCAAGAAAAAGTCTAAAGGGAGAAAGGATAAAAAGTTACTCTTTCCATATTATATTAATCTCACCAAACAAACTTCTGTCATTTTGAGTGCATATGGAGACAGATAGACAGATACACACACATATCTATTCCATGTTTATAACATGCATATATATATGTATTTAAAGTTTTAATCCAATGAATGGTTGGAGAAATAAAGTAGATTTTTATGATAGAAAGTTGAATAATAATCTTTTCCTTGTAGAAAGATATTGTCCCTAAAATATTTTGTTTCTTTTTTGAGGGGCAGCACGTTGTTGATTATTGATCATTCCACTTTATTTAAGTTTCCCCAATATTTGCCTTAGTTAGGTGATATGAAACTATTAGATATTACATTAAAACGCATATTTACTTCGATCTAAATATGGTAAATTTTGATTTACTTGCAAGTGTCTTGTGCAATTACCACAAGACTGCCATGCCTGAATTCCTCAAGCAAAAGAGAAAAGAGGAGAAAATCTCTGTCCCTTTGTGAAATTATATAACCCCAATTCATGCATGGGAGAGGAGAAAGAATCAGAATTTTATAATGGTTTGGATTTTTTTAAATTTAAAAATTTTTTTTTATCATCTTTATTGGAGTGTAATTTACATACAAGTCACCAGTTTCAAGACTACAATTTGATGCGTTTTGACAAGGGTATACAGTTGTTTTACTTCAACTACAATCATGATGTAGAACGTCTTCCCCCAAATTCCATTTTGCTCCTTTACACTCAATATCCTCCACACACTTTCTGGCCTATGCTAACCTCTGAAAAATATAGATCACTTCACAAGTTTATGTGTCATCTATGTGTAGAGGTCATGCTAATCTTCTCTGCATTGTTCCAATGTAGTATATCTGCAGCCAAAGAGAGCACTTACAAAGTTTTTAAAAGTAACATGGCTATATATTCGTTAGTAAAATTTGTAGATGATTTATTTATTAAAACTCTAGGGATATTGTTTATAATAAAACTAAACCTAAACTCATTTCCACTGAGTCAATTCTTACCCATAGCGACCCTATAGGACAGAGTAGAACTGCCCCATAGGGTTTCCGAGGAGTGGCTAGTGGAATCAAACTGCTGACCTTTTGGTTAGCATCCGAGCTCTTAACCACTATGCCACCTGGGCTCCAGAGAAGAACCACTCCGTAAGGTTTCCAAAGGTGTATTTTTATGGAAGCAGAATGTCACGTCTTCTCCTGCATCTTCCCTCCCCCGCATATTTCTCCCACAGAGCGGCTGGTGAGTTTGAGCTGCTTACCTTTTGGTTAGCAGCCGAGCACTTTAACTACTGTGTCACCAGGGCTCCGTTATTTATAATAGTAAATTAGGAATACTATACTGTCACTCCTCCTCCTCCCTGGAAAACAAAAGTCAGCAATTGTCATTTCATACCATGCATAGCATAATACAATAATAGGAAACCTGTCCTCGTTATATGTCCGACTGATATCTCTTTTTGAAGCACTAAAAATTTTAATTGATCACTAGCTTTAGTCATCTAGTATTTTGTTACCTTATGAATATTTTTGTTGTTGAGCTTTTGAAACAAAAAATTGACTCTCTCTATGCTTCAGTTAACTATTTTGTTACATTAAAATAATAAGTTTCTAAGGCTCAAAGAATTGTTGAAATACAATTTTTAAGTGTGGATGAGAAAGGCAAGGCAATTTAATTTATTCTTCTGGTTTGGCAAACGACTGAAAAAGTGGAAATGAGAAGTACGTGAAAATTGCTTTATATACCCCAGGCTGACAATTTTTCCCATTATATGTGAAGAGATATTAAGTGTAAGAACATTGTTCATTGTGTACAAGTACAAAGCATTCCTATGTTGGACATTATCGGTACACGTACACTGTGTAGATAATTTTAGCCATAATGAATACACCATTTCAGTTATTAGATTAAGGTTTTTCGTTTGTTTGTTTGTTTTTTAACTAAAAATGGATGGGCATAAATAAGACCAGAATGCACGCATGTCCAAAGAAGTCGGAAATGAATGAGAATCTGCTAAAATATTATGCTGTGTTCATATCTTAAAGTCTAGTTATTCCAGTTGGTTATTGATAGTTATTTGTATTTGGTGATTTTAAAGAGGCCTTCTACTAAGATAATATGAAAATATTAATATTTTAATTAAAATATCAGTAAGGCGTGGATATTTTGCTGATGTGTTAAGGCTTATACTATCACAATATAGATACAATTATAGTATAGATTTCACAACAAATCTAAAAATGCATCACTTGCAAGACTCAAGTTATTTAGTTGAAGTGTGGAGCAGCTATAGAGTGGAAGCAATCATTTTTGAAGAAAACAGATTTTTAACTTCTATAAATTTTTCTTTTACCTCTACCTATTTACCTCTATTTATAAGCCACATCATGGAGCCCTGGTGGTGCAGTGGTTAAACACTCAGCTGCTAACCGAGAAGTAGGTGATTTGAACAAAACAGCTACTCTGAGGGATGAAGATGTGGCAGACTGCTCCCGTAAAGATTACAGCCTAGGAAACCCTGTGGGGTAGTTCTACTCTGACCCACAGGGTCACAGTGAGTCAGAACTGACTTGATAGCACACAACAAACATAAGCCACATCTTCTAAATTCTCTCCTTGGCAAGCACAAAGAGAAGATGGTAGTTAAACAAGAGTAGTTACCTGGAAAAGGGGTGACATTTAATTTGCATTTTCTTTGTTTACATATTCCTAAAAGCTTGTTCTCTGAACCCCAAATCTTTAACTCAAGGTTTCCCAGTGATTTAAGACCTGAAAGTGTTTGAATACTCCAGAGAAAGCCTGCTCCTATTATTTTTCCATTCAAATAAAAGAGCCGCAAGGGATAGAATTTTTTTTTTTTAGTGTACTTCAGGTGAAGGCTTACGGAACAAATAGTTTCTCATGAAACAGTAGTACACATTGTTTTATGACATTGGTTAACAGCCCCACAACATGTCAACCCTTCTCCCTTTTCTTTTGGTGAAAATATACATAGCCAAAGGTACACCATTTCAAAAATTTCTACATGCACAGTTCAGTGACATGGACTATGCTCTTCCAATTGTGCTGCTCACTTTAGATGAAGGTTTACAGAACAAAATAGTTTCTCATTTAACAGTTAGTACACATGTTGCCCTGTGACAATGGTTAACAACCTCACAACACAT